ACCTGTCCTACCAAATAAAGGCATAGAAAGCCACAAAAACATCTTACAATAAATCAAAAAATGATTAAAATCACGATGTGACGTGTGTTGGGGTTTGTACCAAACAAACATGTTTTCGTACATCTGGAGAAACAAGCTGTGGAGTACAGTACTTCATTAGCACCGCAGCTTCTGTGATATTGCACTTGGACAATTTCCATAATATGTTGATTAGTTGTACAGCTCTAAAACAATATTAACAATAAATCTGAATATCATTCTAGCAGGATTTTTAACTGCAAGAACAGATTATAATTTAATTTGGACTTTAACACAGGACTGAGCTTCGTTCAGGTTGCATCGTGTAAAGCCAGCCTTGGTGCGGAGATGGAAACCCACAACGAGCCCAAAATGGAAATGGAGACACGTTTCCACAAGACAGCACAACCAACCGGTCATGTGATCTTTTCGCCTGGCTGCAGATGGTCACGCAGTGGCAGCTGGTGTGGAAGAATCTGTGCTCGGCCAGCAAGCCTGTACACGCTGCCGAGGCCGGAGCCAATGAACTGCTTTTGTTTTTCAGCTGAAGTCCTGATATAATGTGTTTCTGGAGCTGCCAGACTGTGATTAGCAGCGAGTATAATGTGGTCTTTATACGCCTTTATGCTGGGTTTCATCACAAATACAGGACTGTATGGATGCTGCACAACACCCATCAGTAACATTTCTGAATGACAGTTTGGCATTGGGAAAACTCTTGGTAAGCAGGACACAATCTTCACTATTCAATATCTACACACCTAGCTTTACCCTTAAGCCACCAGTTGTTGCCATTTCTGACTCTTGTCAATCTATAGACCAGTCATAAATACTCAGGACTGACACAAGCTACCGTACTCCAAAAACATTGGTTCCCCTAAAAATTTGAATGGTTTGGACCAACCCTGGCAGTCTATCCGCGGTTCCAATTGGTCATGATTGGTGAAGACAAATGTTCAATAAGAGATAAGTGCAATCAGAGACATGGTACTTAATACGATCTTTGAGGCACTTCTTAAATAAAAAGTCGTCTCCCAGTTAGAGCTCCCCCCGTTGTTTGTGAAAATCGTAAAAGATAAAAGGAAATGTTTGTGGGTACAGATGAAAATGTGCCACTTGCATTGATAAAAAGGCATCGTCAATTTTGGATTCACTACCTACATTATAATACACATTAATAACTTATTCTTTTCCTTTGTCATTGTACATTCTTGTTTCGTGTGAGGCGTTGGCCCCCCTACAAGATAGAAAAAGAAATTAAAAAAAGAAAAGAAAAAGTGCACGTAAAATTCTTCAGCAGAACTGTCATATTCATCCAGGGATGTGAGACGGGCTGAAATGTGTTCGTGGTGGCAGGCACAGAATGAAACAGCTCTCTGTTCAAATGTCAAAGCTGCACTTTGACACGAGGATGGATGGACATTCTGAGGGGAGAAAGGAATGAAGCCAAAGGAGAAAAAGAAAAGGGGAAGACAACGTAACGACAGGGAATGTTCTTGAAGTCCAGTGTCTTTGTTTTCCTTGTAGATACCAACAAAGAAGAGTTTGGTACCCCAACAAAACAATCTGAATCGTCCAGGAAGGAAACTCTCCCATTCTCCTGTTTGCTTTTGCCTTGTCGACAGGTCCAGAAGGTGAGTTCGGCCTCCCTGTTGTCCTTTACTCTTCCTCCTCCTCTTCCTCCTCCTCGCCTTTCAGAGTTGGCTTGCGAGTGGTTTTTGGCTGAGACGGCAGCTTGGACAAACAGTAGGTGGGCGAAGGAGGAAGCTGGTCTCTCCTTCATACAGACTCTTCTGTGGATAGCAGCAGGGGGTTGATGTATTCAAATCCCTCAAACTCTGACTGGTCTATTCTCTTGATGACGTCCCTGAGGAAAGGGAGACAGAGAGAGGAATTAGAGGTGTTTCATCACAAACCCAGAGCACAATGCCATCTACAGCAAACCTGGATCAAGTTCTGAACAAAGGGACGGAGTTTCACAGCACTGACAGAAAGAGTGTCTTATTACTGTGCTTTGAGAAAAGTTCCTTTTCCATTTTACCCTTTACTAAAAGGTGTGCATCTGATTTTTATTTTTATTCAATTTATTTATTTTACCGTTATTTAACCAGATAAGTCAACTGAGAACCAATTCCATAATGGCAGCAAGGAGGTTGATACAATAAATGCAAATAACAATACAGTTGTAAATACAGCTGTAACAACACAATATACAGTACTGTATTGTACAATACAGTATGTACTGAAAAGAGGTACAGACTTTCATTCCAAGTCAGACGTCCGTAACAACTGGGTACAGGATCGCTGTGAATCAGGGCTGGAACCCAATATCCCACTATTCCTGCATTGGATAGGTATTCACTTTCCAATTTTGGGATTCAGATATTTGCACAGCCCTCTCTCTTACTGCACACACACTGACTTGCACCATCCCGCCTCTTTCTGTTTCTTTTCCTCGCAGTGTCAGACAGGGACAGACTCGTACAGGCTGTGTGTGTCGGCTCTGTTGACTTTCTTCTTTCTGTTGTCAAAGTCGCCCCAAAAACTCATATTGTGCATTTGGATTCCTCAGTTCAGCTTTACTGGTGCTGGACATGTGTTGCTGAAGCACAATTACTGTAAGAACAACACTGAATAAAAAAAACTATTTTCATTCTTTGATTAATACAAATAATTGTTGAGAAAATAAAACTGGTAAATGTAATGGAATAATTTGTATATATACAGTATATAAGTAATCAAGTTATTATTCAATCAAATCAATAGTAAAACAAATGGAGATGGTGTCAGTACAATATAATAAGTGTCTGTTTATATATCTATGTCCCATAAGTTTGTGATCAGTATGTCATAGTGAGTTTGGAAAAAAGGGTGTTCTATATCTGGGGCATTATTGGCTTTTACTACCAAACTGACAGTAGAGAAACAACAGGAAGTCAACAGGGTTAGGGTTAGACTACTAGTTATATTACTTTTCTGCTACTCCCCACGAAATTGGTAATTGTGTCCTTTTCCCCAAAAATTCAGACTGACGACGATTAAAATCCAGTTTTGTTTGTTAAAATCAAAGTAATAGAATATTTCCTGCTGCTGAATGTCAGCATTTCCATCTCCGAGGCTAGTTTCCTCCACAATTACAAAATGAATCCAAGGATGGGATGTTGGATTCAAAATCAGTAGGGGTGACAACAAAAGTAAGGTTGTAACTAATTATTTTTTTGGGGAACTGTAATATTATTACTGAAATGTATTAGTAATTAGTTACACTACTAGTGACTAGGAAAGTAATATGATTAGTGTACTATTTTTACTAGTAATGTCTTACTGCCCAACAGTGCTAATGTCAGGGTTGCTGGAGCGAAATAGCTGAAAAAAAAATATTTTTCCTCCCATCTGATCTCATGCTGAATACTTCTCAAGCCGTAAGGTTTGAGGTCAACCACCAACTACAACAATTAACGGGAAAACAGCTTTTTTATGTGTTTACCGAAACATGGCTGTTGGTTTTTCTATTTTCGGGGTCACAGAGCATAAGGGTGGGCAGGAATGAAAACCACAGAGAGCGGGACACACAAGAACAGACGGGCGCAGCCAAGGTTTGGCGAGTTGACCAAAACCAACCACAGTGTGTTCAACCACGTAAAGTGCCCCTTTTCTTCCAGGCTTGGATGGCTTGAAAGGCATTACCAGATGCCAGAATGACAGAGGCAGAGATGAGGAAGGACAGACAGGGGAGTGAAGCTGCGGCAGACCCAGGAGAGTACGTCCAGCAAAACGCACTGAGCGACATATAACCTGTTTTTTAACTGCCTTTGTGTCAACCATTAAACTAGAAATGAACATTCACAACCATTGACGAGCCTTACTGAATTCTCACGTGTGTTTGTGGACCAACATCTTTTAAAGCCCTCTCCAGACATGCTTTCACAACAAATAAACAACATATTTCCTGCCTGTCAACCAATAATGTGTGCGATGTGTTTTTTCCACACAAAAACATAGTTTTCCTCCTTAAACACAAGCATGTCTCCTCCTTCACTTGTAAAGTCCATTCTCAGTGGATGTTGCACTGGTCGCTTCAAGTTCTCTACACTCCACTCGTACCAAGTTGATCTGGACCAGGATGACTCCAGACTATTTGTGCATCGTACAATGCTGGCTGGTGGCCCCGCCCCTTAAAATCAGCATGCTCTCAATGAGCACCAGAGAAACTTTCCTCTTTCCAGGCAGACTAATGTGAACCACTCCTTCTACGTGTCCAAACTCCTGCACATACAGCATTCAACACGCACACTGTACGAGACAGGAACATAACACCTGGTTTCTGACTGGAGGGGGCTATAACAGCAACAAACACCACATCCTGGCAGCCATGCTCCATTTTCTTTTATTGACCCACAAGGGTGGTGTCCTCCCAAAATAATCTTACTGCCAAGTTTGTTTGAAAAGTCCCATCTGTCCAGAACCTTAGAAAAAACCTACCCTGATTTCAGCAGATCACCTGTCACTGCCCTGCCCCAACTTTTATGTTTTGTTTTTGTCTACAGTAACTTACTAATCAGTTCTTACCATCTACATGTCCTTGGTGACAGTGATTTGGATTGAAGTGTCTGACTTTGGCACTTGTTGACATTT